GTATGAGACAATAGCGCTATTAGTAATACCTTCTTAGTTCCTATAACATGCCCTACTATATGCTCTATCGATTTCATCGGCTCCTGGACCCCTATTCTGTAACTTGTAACGACAGTGTCGGTATCGTTACGTTGTCGTTGCGCAGGTATACTATATGGAAAAAAAGCTGCGCAACGACGACATAACGATACCGACACTGTCGTTAGAGTTACAGAATAGGGGTCCTGTACGCCTTCGCTCTCAAATCGGCGACTCCATTGATCGATAACATCGCCGATCGTACTACATTCACGCACATCCGAAACAAATAAACGTCGCGCTGGATGCTTCAACGTGACACTATTGAGATTGTTATTCGTCAAACATTGTAGACAGGCTAATATAGCTGGTTTATTGTAGACAGTACGTGTCCTCAAGACGTTACGACACCACATGATGCTTCCTTAGACTGTCTGCGGAATGCAGATGCAAAATTATATTGTATTTTGAAATTGTACCTAAAATTGATTGTTTTTGTATTTTTAATTTAATGTAAAAATACAATTTTTTTATAATTTATTAATTCATAACTATTAAAAATTACGCCCTTTAAAATAATAAAAAAAGAAGTAAAGCTCTCTATACGTCACCATTTAAATCGCTACCAAACAGCAGGCCTTGGTCGGTCAATCTGTTCTCAGATTTGTCAGCAGGATCTGCTCGATTTCTGCCACCAATCTGCTATCTGATTCTGTTAGCGTTAGCAGACTCTGTTGGCAGAACAGCTTAAATATGGAGACGCAGTTGACGTCAGTCTGCTGACATGTTTTGATTAAATCTGCCGACAGACTGCTATCATTTTGCTTACTGGGATATAATATAAAAAATCAATAAAGCTGAAGTTGACAATAAATATACATATATAAAAAATCGATAAGATATTGACCCGATGGAAAAATGCAAATAAATTGCTCAAACGATAAAAAAACTTTTTTGCAAAACGGTATTTTTAAGCAAAGAGCATGAGATATAAATTCTAATCGGTGTCATTCTATTAGTGATCGCGATTGTTTTTAATAAACATTTGATAATAATAAAGGAGCCAAAATATTGATCAAATTACACGTATATACATATGTATATCGTTTTGCACTTTTACATTTTATTTAATATTTTATATCGATATCATATAATAATATATAATAATAATAATAATAATAATAATAATAATAATAATAATAATATATAATAATATATAATATATATATAATAAATCACATTCACATAATTTTTGTTCAAAGTATTATTACTTAACAATTACATTTTACAGAGGTATTACATTCATAGAGGTATTTCATCCTTTGACCATAGTTTAAGGTCATATGACCTTAAACTATGGTCCGACCGGCTGATCTCTGTCCGCCTTATCTTTGACATAAATCGTGTCGCAAAGTTGAGCATTCTCCGTGTACAAGAGCTAAATCGCACGCGCGTGATAAACCCACAATCAGACTTTGAAACCGACGTCCGACGACCGACGATGACGACAGCTGGCCGCTGACGTAGTCTTTCTCAGTCGCACTCCAGCAGGCGGATTGTAACAGGCGCTCGCGCGGTTCCCACACATCCCACAAATCCTCATTTATAACTTACAACTAGATGAGTCCACGTGTTGCCCTTGGCTCGTTTTCACGACAGAAAAATTCTATACCCCATGGGACGTACCTGTGTGAAGTTGACATCCCATTTCTGAAATTCTAAAAGTTGTTCTGGATTATTCTAGACTTGTTATAAATTGTTCCAGAAAATCAAAATTTTAAAATAAAAATGTTCGCGGAAAATTAATCCGTACAAAATTACTGTTTTAAAAAAAAAGGTAAAAAAAGCGCCAAGTACACGCATAGTAGTGTATATGTTGTTGCCTCGAAAAAAAAAATAAAGTGGTAGTATTATACCTCGAAATAGCTTTACACCCTGTACATACTGTTTATAAAATGCGTAATACTACAAATAGGCGTGATATCCGTACAAAATTACCTTTCTAAAAAAAAAGGTAAAGAAAGGCGCCAAGTACACGTATAGTAGTGTACATGTTGTTACCTCGAAAAAAAACAAAGTGGTAGTACTATATCTCGAAAAAATTTAAGTAACAAGTGGTAGATAATTATTACAATTTTCTTGTAAAAGATTGTATTATCGCGCGTGATAGTAAATTGCTAAAGTGGGGTCGACCCATTCGATCCTCTATTTTTATCTACCAGTGAACACTAACTGTGTAAAAGTGATGAGTTTGTTGCATTTTTCCATCGGGTCAATATCTTATCGATTTTTTATATTATATTCCAGTAAGCAAAATGATAGCAGTCTGTCGGTAGATTGGCAATCCATATTTAAGCTCATGTTCTGCCAACAGAGTCTGCTAACAGATTCAGATAGCAGATTGGTGGCAGAAATCGAGCAGATCCTGCTAAAAAATCTGAGAGCAGATTGAAGACAGAAACCGAGCGAATTAAATGGTGACGTATTGAAAGCTTTACTTCTCTTTTTATTATTTTAAAGGGCGTAATTTTTAATAATTATGAATTAATAAATTATAAAAAATTATATTTTTACATTAATTAAAAATACAAAAACATACAATTTTAGGTACAATTTCAAAATACAATATAAATTATATATATATGTATATACTGGGCAACAAAATTATCGCAACAAAAATTTACGTCAAAAATTTGCCCTTAAAGGGTGAAGTCTGTACTTTAAGAAACTATTGTTAGACAGATTTTGAATTTAGCCTCCCCCCTCTCATATAATATACTATAATATACTATATACATATATTATAGTTCATAAAATGGAAAACTTCGCAGTCGAGTTATAAAATTTTGTGGAAAAGATTTGGTTGAATATTTACATCGTCTTTGGACTTAAGAGTATATCACTTCACGAGCACTTAAGCTAATAGATATTACATCCTATTGTACTTGTAACTGGGCTCTACTGAGGCGAGAATTTTTCAAGTTCTTTTTTTATTGACGCAATCAAAGGTACCGCAGAATCTTCCGGTGGTAACCTGCTATCCACTAATATACGCCTAGTGTCCACTTTCGGCAAGTTTGGTTTATGGAGTAGACCCGCGCTGAATGACCTTGAGCCTCAGGCACCGCAATTCAGTTTAGATGTTTTCCGGGCGGCAAAGGAAACAACGTCACGCAAATTGCGTCCACATGCGCAGGTGCCTAACCCGACTGTCCAGAGAAACTAACGCAACTCTTGGGATGACGAAGAGCAAGAAAAAACAGAGACAATGCTCAAGAATGATTAGTAATATATGAAAAGAAAATATGCACATACGTGCAAACATATGTGCACACACGTATGTACATGTAATATGTAACAATAATTATTTAATGTCTAGTTACAGGTACGCCGATAGGATGACGTTGATGTCCACCAACAGCGATGGATCAACAACGGAGAATGATGGTTGACAACGGAGGACGACACAAGAACATTTTACACATATCATATTTACATCGAAAGCATAAACATTATAGTAAGAAGCGAAAAATAAGTCATATCCTAGTTTTGTTGTTACAAGTCGAAATTGTGCCACCAAATTTAACTTATTAATCAGTCACTGTATATATCATTACATTAAATATAAAATTTTGTATTAAGTTTTTGCAAACAGTAAAAAAATTAATACAATACTCATGGATAGAAAGTTTGACTAATTAAATTATAAAAATATTAATATACATAAATTCCTATATGACTAATCCGTCCAATATAGACATATATCTATAACTTATAGTTACAGTTATAGACATAACTAATAAAATATACAATAAACTTACATAATATATATAACCTACTAATATGTGTGTGTCGGTTTTATTAAGACATTTTTACAAAATAATCATATAAAACATATATACATAGTAATATAACGAATGTAGAGTCAAGAATTGCTTTTTTAAATAACTTTCACTACTTCCACGAATCGATCGTTATTACAAAAATCTTTGTACGTATGTTCATGATAGAGCTTTAAATCGGGATATTTATTTGTAAAAAATTGTATATATTCCGGATGAGTAGGATCAACCTCCACGAAGAGACGTCCGCCAGGTTTTAATGCTTTGGCAGCATATTTTAAGAGCGGCTTGATCACTTTCAATCCATCGTCGCCGCCGTCCAGTGCCCTGAGATCCTCATAACTACATAATAAATATGTTATTAATTATTATTTATATAGTATTCGAAATTGACAGTCACACTTTGCGCATTACATCCTTATCTCAGGCTGCAGTTCCGGGATCTGCTTTGTTGGCACGTATGGCGGATTACTGATCACAAAATCGAATAGTTTTGAATTTAAATCCACATTATCGGCACCATTCAAGCTACTCGAAACTTCGATACTCGCATCCGACTTTAGGGTCGCATGTATTACTGTAACTTGCTTCGTTAAGTCCAGGTTGCTCCGATTTATTATCGTCAAATCGCAAGCGTGCGGATTCGCGTCGATCGCTGTGCACTTTATCTAGAAAAGTATTATTCTTTATTTCTTCTATCTTGAGGCATTATTCTATTATTTCTTAATTGTCAGAGTCTGCTCCTAGGATACAAATAGCCCAATAAAATTATCATCTCACATACTCTTTTACAAGCATGAGCGAGAGCCAGTGATATCGCGCCCGAGCCGCAACCGATTTCTAGGATCTCGCAACTGTCGGCCTGCGACGAACTCAGTCTTTTCAGCACAAAATCCACCAGTATTTCGGTTTCTGGGCGAGGAATAAAAATCGGTGGCACAAGCTTCACGGTAATGTCTCGGAAATCCCATTCGCCGATAATATACTGAACTGGCATTCTGCAAGGACTTGGCATTCATAAGTGAGCGCGAAGGTCTTCGCGCAGTTTGATCCAGTATATGGACTATAAAGGCCATATTTGAGGGACCTCTTACCTGGACAATCGACATTCGCATAACGACTCCAATTTTTCAATCTGACTCGCGGTGAGAGGATCATTTCTGACATTCAAGATATCTACTATCTGTAAGTAATAAGAGAGAATTAGAGCAATTTTTCACTTGTTAGTTCTAGAGTCTAATAACAGATTTTTAATATATTTTTTGCAAAGTATATTTGTACTGTCTTGCTATGATACTCTAATATATATCGCCTAAATCTCTAAGTTTGATGTATTCTACTAAAATGTTCAGTAATTCAGAAAGTGACAGTCATGAAATTCGTGACAAGCAGCTATACTGTGAGCCAAATAAATACTGCAATAGGTAAACAAAAAGTATAATTGCGTTTGGATTAAAAAAATACGCACGACGTAAAATGAATCTAATTGTTACCTAATTATCACCTAATTGTCATTCGCTGAATGTTGTCAATGACCAATTATGTATGAGACAATAGCGCTATTAGTAATACCTTCTTAGTTCCTATAACGTGCGCCACTATATGCTCTATCGATTCCACCGGCTCCGGTATACCTTCGCTCTCAAATCGGCGACTCCATTGATCGATAACATCGCCGATCGTACATTCACGCGCATCCGAAACAAATAAACGTCGCACTGGATGCTTCAACGTGACACTATTGAGATTGTTATTCGTCAAACATTGTAGACAGGCTAATATAGCTGGCTTATTGCCGATGATACGTGTCCTCAATACGTTACGACACCACATGATGCTTCATTAGACTTTCTGCGGAATGCAGATGCAAAATGCAGATTCAATCAGTTAATGACGCTGCCATCAGCTGATAGATCGTGAAACGTGCCGGAGATTGTACATACATGTATTTTAACCGTGCTATGCATGTATATAGAAACTGCTGCCAGCTGGCGGGATGGAAGTCTGTCGTATGTTTATCGACAATAAATCAAAGATGTTATAATTTAAAAAAACATCGGATCAAAATGCTCCGAATATAGAAAGTTAATAAAAATATCGCAAATTATGTTTTTCGCACATGATTAGATATCAAATAGTATTTTTATAAAAGAATGCTATTAATGTAAACACAGTTTTGTAGTGCTTTGTATTCTTATGTTATCAATATATCACTTTTTTTAAAGTAAACTACAATATATAATTATACTATTAATTACTTAATCGTATTATTGTCTTTATTCTTTAATTATTGTTAAATCGTCATGTTATATTCATTGGAACTATGAGAGCTCCAATTCTTTATTTCATCAAGAGTCCGCAGATTCCCGACTGCCTTCTCCAACCGACCGACGGTGAAATCACTCTCTTTCTCTGTGGCTACTCAGAAGGCTGTATAGCTGGGAGCGGAGTCAAAGACCTGGGCCGCTTTAGAAGATGCCGCTAAAGCCGTGCTCCGCCGGTGGATCGAAAGGTCTAAAAAGCGGCGCACGCATGCGCCGATGCTGGAGTAGGCTGTCTGGAAAAGAAGGGTGCTGGCTAACAGGCCGTTGTCTGGCCGAAGGCGCTGGCAGTCGCCACCGGCCCCGCTCCCAATTCATGACTGCCATGACAGTCCTCCTCCGTGTCGCAGCGAGTGCGAGACCGAGTCGTAGTATAACGCCGTTTAAAGAGCGCCGCTGTTGAACTTCCCTCCCCCTCCTCCTTTGCCCCCCACCGACTGATGCACGTACTCGCGTCGCAGCGCGTTGCACCGCGAGGAGGTCGACCGAGAACCGACCTCGGCTGGGTCATCACGGTGCTGGTGCCGCGGAGAACCAGCTCTAGCGCCTATCACCAAGTCACCCAGGCGCGGCCTTCCTAGGTGCGTTCGATTCATCGGACCGAAGAGTCCCGTGGGATCGTAGCGAGAGCGCGCGTCCTGCACGAGCACGCGTCGTGGTGGCTCGTGCGAATGGCGGGTGTTGTGGTAGCGGTGCCGTTGATGTGACGCGTGTCTCTCGTGGCCGTATACGCACGGCTGGCTGGCTCCGCTCGCTGTCAGTTTCGGAGCACAAGAAACGCCCGTGTAGGATACGTGTCAAACAACGTACAACAGGCAGGCCACGCTCCCGCTCTCCACCTGGGTTCGATCGACCGATGCGGCTCGTCGAACCCCCGTAGGTAGGGCGCCTTTGCCGATTAGAGCCGCGAATACCTATGAGAGAGACGAGGGCACCGCACGCGCTCGTAGCGAGGTGTAAGGCACGGCGAGTACGCGGCATCGATCGCGGCGAGACGTTCCGAGCGACTCGCCGAAAAGGTCGCATGCCTCGGAAGATTCGCCGGTGTTAGATGTAGTCTTTAGCCAAAGGTTTCTCGGTGAAGCGATATTAAGTCGCCGGATACTTCGGGTCTCCAGACACTTGAATGACTGTCAATTACAGCGAAACGATTGGGATTTCTCGAGCGACTCGTTGAAAAAAATCTGAATCCTTTTCTCTCCGTGCAAAAGTCACTGGTAGCAGTAGTAAAGCTCGCGATGCGCTTCGTAGCGCGCGCTCGGTTTAGTGCTTCGTGCACGCGAACCGGAGCGAATCGGGGCATCGATCGCCGTCGGGATTTTCGGAGCGGAGGCGACACCGCGTGCTCCGAAAAATTTGCCGGCTCCGCGAGTGTGCCGGCTAATCGATCGACACGCCTGTAGATTCGCCGGCGCCCAACGAGATTTTCCGAGCCGTCCTTGAAGAGCGAGAAACGCGGAGCAAGGTGTGGTGGAAAAACGAGCGCGTATCGTTATTCGCGAACAACGCCGGCTACTATGAACAGTATATGAACGTCACGCGCGAGAATAGAGTGTTTGATATATTACGTCCTTCGTGTAGATACATTTTTTTTGTCACAGATCTGTCGTTCATTTCCACGCGCTAGTTTAATGATGTAAGATCGACGTTTGCGTAATACGCTTCCGCGTTGCCCCGATTACATTTAAATTATCTCCTCCCCGACCACACAGCGTATGCACATGCATGCGCAAAGAACTGTACAGAAACGTGCAATTAAATCTCTAGAATGTGTGCGGTTTCATTAGCAGCGGTTAATTGTCGCCTTTCTAATTTTCTACGCTCTCCCGTAGACCCCATGAACGCACTTATGACTTCTAAATTGTCTTCCGCGAGGGCATGCAAATAGGCGAGTAACGAAGGTGCAAATAATCGCACGACGCACCGCATTTCGTTGTCGTATGAAAAAAAATTGCAGCCTCCTCTAATTGAATCCCAAATCAAACGGTTGATCGTTCAGCTCGTCAGCTTCGTTTTCACGCAATAAAAAACGCGCGTGTCGATAATCGTTGAGGTAATCGACTCGATAATGCACTGCTTCGGCAACTTTCTTTATTTCTGCTGACTACGCGGCGGCGGCGTCACGCGATGACGAGAACGCGAGGGGAGCGCATTCGCGCGTTTCGCGCGAGTTCGCGGTGCACCTCGGGAAAGAAAGAGGAACGAAAAAAAAACCCCTTCGCTCCTCGCGGTGAGTCGGACCGAACGCGTGTGCACCGAACAACGGTTGCGTTATCGCCGCTTCTTTTGCCCGTGCCGTCGCCCCTCGTTTCCGCATGCCTCGCGATATCGAGTCCCACGCCGGAAGCAATGTCCAACCACGAAGAAACGTTTTCGGTTCACGCCCTTGCGTGCACCACATCCGGGCGACCTCCAGATTGGCGCTAATCGCGCGGGGAGGAGATCAAATGTCGGGGAGATCCCGGAAGTGTGCGAGCCGCGAACTCTTTCCGCCTTGTTCCGCGCGCCGAGCGCATCGCGAGCCCCGCACACAGAAGAAAAAGAAGTGTCAAATCAAGACTTATATCTACGCAATCTATAATCTTGAAATGGGATTATATTGTGTTAAACGAAGAAAACTTACCTGAATAAAGTCATAAAGTCAAGTTAAACCAAGTTTTATGTAGTTCAACCAAGAAAAAAAAGTTAAAATAAAAAGTTGAAAGTCTTATAAGAAGATTATAGATTATTGCGTATACATATACGAGTATATAAGTTTTAATTTGCCACTTCTTTTTTTTCTGTACACATTATACCGCGCACGTTTCAATCTCGATCGTGATCGATCGAACCTGCGATCTTTCGTAAAGCACGCACTTGTTAGCGATGCACCTCACGAGTACAACTAACGTTAGAATTAAATGAATTTCCAGGGAACGATCCCGAGGGCAAATCGATGAACGCGGCGCCGTTGCCGGTGAATAGGGTGCACCGGTGCGCTGCGGGGCGAGCCGGGGCATTGGGAGAGCCTACCTCGGACGGACGACGCGGCCTACTCCGGAACGAATTGTGACAGACAGCCGCTTTTCGAGTCGTCGTCGTGAGTGCCGGGCATCGTGGTGGCGGTGACGAGGCGATGCGCGCGACTCGGCGTGTCTCGCACGGCCAATAGCGCCGATCACGCGCGAGTCGCGGCAAAAGTTAGCCGGTTATTTTGACAGACGGTGCTGCATAATCACGGTGATACGTAATACATAGCATACACACACACATATATATATATGCTACGAGGTGCAAGAAATCAAGACTGTCCGCGATCGCGTCGCGTAGGGCCAATCGAGCAATCGAGAAACGAGATATCGTATGTTATCTCTTTCTCGTGTTCGCGTTCTTGTGACGTTTAGCGAGTGAAGAAGATGTTTAACTTTATGAAGAAGGCCGCGGAGAAGGACGACAAGGAGAAGCGGAAGCGCGAGAAGAAGGAGCGGAAGGATGTTAAGAAACGCGATCGCAGCAGCATGTCCGCGGAGGAGCTCCTACGATTGGATGAGGTAAATGCAAAAACGTCGCGGGAACTTTCGCTAAGAAATATCCTTGCTCTGTTGCGATCCCTTTCCTTTCTTTTACAATTTGGAAAACCACAACAAATTATATTATTTATCTTTGCAAACTATATTATTTATCTTAATTGCGAGTTCTGCCAGTCGTTGATTTTTTATATTAAGTTCGTAACGAATGAACGTTTTGGTTATCGCATTTTCCGATGACTAGGTGGGTGTACACTGATACTGCAAATTTATGAGTTACACAAAGTTACCGATATCTTCCGATTATATTTCTTATCGGCATGAACAGAGCTGTCAATATCACGAGGCGATAACGTTTTCCAGTAGCTTTCTTCAAATTGATATTATTAATAAACTGTGCATTAAAAAAACGTGTGTGTTGATGATGTGATTACACTATAAAGAACTTAATCGATCATAAGAGAATTTTTCGATAGAAATGAAGAGTTCTGAATTGCGAGATAAGATTTCGTCTTGAAAAGCTTCTTTTCTGTAGATTCAGTATCGTCGCTGGTCGGATGTGGTTTCACGCGCGATATGAAGTGCTGGTCGCATACTCGTTGCACTGCATTAACGAAAAATAAAAATTGCAAAATTATTCTGCGATATGGACAACGAGTCGTTACAATCGCATCGTTCACAGAATAAGAGAAGCTTCTTGAGAAAATTCGTAGGATTTTGCATGGTACACATTTTTAAGTGTCCCTGGCTTGGGAGAGTTCTTGAAAAAAAATTTCGTCACTCTTACACGCTTTGTTGCAGGTTCGTAGATCACTGAAAATTCCTGGTCGTCGGAAGGAGAAGGAGAAGTTACCGAGCGGCATCACCGCGGATTACAGCGCGTCGTTTTTCGCGCATCTGGATCGCGATCTTTTGGACGCCACGCAGAACGCGGGGCCAGGCTCGGCGATCGGTGCCGGCGCCAGCAGTTGGGCGACTAGAACGCCCGACGGTTTGATGCAGAGCGACTCGTCGGAAGCGTCTCTCACATCTCTGACGACGACCACGACCACGGCGTCGACGACGACGAGTCACGCCGGCGTTCAATCCGGCGGCAAGTGTCTACCGCCGTTGCCGCCGAAACCGCCCAAGCGAGGAATCCTCAAAGGACCGCGGTTGACCGTCAACAGCTGTACCGTCAACGTTCTCTCGGAGGAGAATGTGTTGCCGAACGGCACAGAAACCAGTTACCAGGAGGCCAGTAATTTGCTGGTGAGGAACACCCTTCAGAACGAGGTGATCACCTATCAGAACGTGCCGACGCATTTGAA